CGCTCTAAAGACGATACTCTAAATGCAACAATATTGCCAAGTTGCATTCACTGTAAAACGATGGGGGACGCCCTAACCCCAAAGCGAGCCTAGCACAAACAAATGATTTTGACGCCGGCTCTTATGAGCACATGTGTCCATGCATTTCCTCTCAGGTACTGTCCGAAAAAGCGACTTGACTGAATTGATTGCGGCCTAGTGGATAGCAGAGCATTTCCGGTAAGAGGACTGTACACCAAACTGCATGATAAGTTTTGCTCCACCATTTCTTGGAAGCCTGCACTGTGAAGTGTTATACAGCATTTTACATCCTGGTGTCCTCTTTCTATTGCCAGTGTTGGCGACACCTTGGGGCTCTGTGAGGCGACCATGAAGCAAGTCCGGGATTGGCGCTCGATACAGGGCTTCCAGTTTCTCGACGACAGCTCCTCAGGCTGCTTGCCTTGACATGAACGTCGGGCATCAATACTGTAAGGAACATGCGTCATGGTGCCCCGCCTGTGGATCATCAATGCCGATCGTGCATTGCCTTTGTTCTTTCGGTTTGTGTTCGAAGTCACAGACCGTTGTTCTTTGCATGTGGGAGATGCAGACCAGGGATGCGTCAGAACCGTCTGCATTGCGGGCTGTGCGGAGGCCTCACGCGATCGAGTTCCGAGACCTTCGTTGGCAGCAAGGTTCCAGAGGAGCTCGGGCATGCGCTGCTTCTCTTCTTGGCACGCAGCCGCTTTTACAATGGCGCGCGTCTTGCCAGGAGAGTTCTGGAGCATCTGGCGGCTACAATAGCCGGGTCACGGACAGGAGGCTCGCGCCTGAGCTTTGTGAATCGCCTCTAGCTCCAACGCCTTGGTGTCAGAGTGTCGCACCCTGTGATTCTGTTGGGCAGGACCTCCGTTGAAAAGTCCAGATCCGCCTCCGGCTCAGAATTCTAGCCGAAACAGTATAAAGATAAACCTCTTTGCGAAATGTTCCAACTGCTTGGTGTCGGCCCCAGTCCGTGGACCTCACGGCGAGAGCGAGAAAGAAGATCGACATCGACACAGAGTGGCTGCTTCAATGCATTTGGGTCGAGCTTAGCGCTTTTTAGCTGCTGGTTCATACTGTACGGTATGTAAACCAAAAGTTCGTTTGTCCCAGTGTCTATATAGTTGCACGATACATTGCGCGGGGACCGTGAACAAGTCTCGCTTGTGCAGAAAGGCCGTGAAGAGATATGTGGCAACGAGACCTCATTCGGTCGACGTTGTAACAAGTGGATATTGCCTCTTGCTTGTCGTCCGCCGTCCGGGGGGCTCCCAGGATACCAGCCCCGGCGCTGCTGCCTACATATTCAGAAGTGAAACTTTGTTGCGGGGTCGTGCAATCTGATCAGGCGGACATGCTTTGAAGACAGGGGCCGCCTGATTCGTGCCAGCAGAACCTGCATGTGCAGTCCAAGGTCTCCAAGAGCATCCTTGTCGAATGGCCTTGCCATGAAAGAGTCCCCAGCCAAGCGAGCGCAGCGACGCCTAAGCAGATGGGACGATTAACGGGGCCCCAGCAAGGCTGGTGCAGAGATTTCACGCATACTGTTGCATGCTGTCGCCCATCTGCTTGCATGATCCTCGTGCCAGTGTGGAAGCCTTCTCCCTGGGCTACGTTGATAAGTTGCAAGATGGAGTTTCCGTTTACAGCAGGAGTGGCAGCAACGTCGTCAATCTACCAGCTGCTTATACAGTGCTTGTGATTATTCACTTCAATATGTGCAGACAAATGCCTGGAATCACTGGCACCTGGCGACACACGAAAGCTGCATCGATAGCTGCTCTGCCAAAGGCTGAGATGCCCGATCAGACTTTCGATTCTTTAGGAAGCTTAGAACGTGGGATCCGTTTTTTCGCTGGGTTTCTCGGACAGGCTCTGAACATGTGTATATATTGGAAGGTGAGTCTCTTGCAAGGGTCCATGTTCGGCATGTTTCCTCAAGTCAGAGAAGCCTGGCCACTGTGAGATTCCAATCGAAGTGGTGTACAGGCACCACCTTCCTGTGCCCAGGAGGATCGTTTCAGTAGATTTTGCCCAAAGCGTGGCAATTTTCGAGACGACGCAATGAAGGCGCGAACGGCCAACCACGAGTGCCTCAAGCATCCTTGCAAAGGATGGTCGGGTTCCGAAGCCGCTTGCAGCTTGAATTGCTCTTGCCTAGGAAACTTCGACAGCCCCGGGAGTAAAGGCGGGGCGGCATTTGTGTGTGAGCGCCGCGATTCTGTACGCTTCCGGTGTCGTTTGCTTGCTTGACAGTACACACGGGCACGGTCTGGAGGGCCTGTACGATAAGGCTCACGCGAAGCCGGGTCATCTTTTTCTGTGTGCCCAAGGTGCAAAGGCTACCAAGGATGACGGTCAGCAAGTGGCAAAGCAGAAGGTGCATCGAGAAGCTTTGGCTTGCGGGGAGGGGAACGATCACAAAGAGACGTGCAGCGCATCTTACCATGATTTCAGGCCCGCGTTCTGAAGGTCTTAGTCCGGTCAGGGACTCAATGAAATCTTGTATGCAATGGTTGCTTCTGCCTGTGCGGAGCTTTGCAGGCTGTGGCTGTACTGTTTCCTGCGGAACCACTCGAACGAAAACTTCTTCTACACGTGGGGTGCTTAGAGCATCTCAGAGCTGGTGTGTAGAGCTTCGGCGAATGCTAGCTGGATGCGATTTTGGCAAGGCGGGGATACATGGACATCATCGACGACATGAATGGGCCGCTTGTTTGGGCTTCCAGACATCGAGATGCCTTCGCTGCGATTGCGAATCTTCCTGCCGCTTGCAACAATCTCCGAGCATGAATGGCTAGGCGGGGTTTGGGAGCCTCCGACGTTTTTGTCACGCTTCTAAGCCTGAGCCCTGGACGTGTGCGCAAAGGACAGGTTCCCGTCCTCAGCTGGGCTTTGGACTCTTCCCCCTTCGAAAGGTCAGAATCGGGACCTCGTCCGCAAAGTGAAGCCCGAGACTGTTACAAGGCACGTATTGCAGGACCAGGTGTGCGTATTCTCGCAGACATTCCGGAGTTTGACCGTCATCCGAAACACCTGGCGGCCCATGAGGAAGCACAAGTGTGTTGTGCAATCTTGGCCATGGACAGGTTTCTGAAGTTCATCCGGATTCTTGGGCCCCTGGACACCTGGCTGCATTTCCTGAAGGTGCCGCCATGACTATATTTGTCTCTAGCTTCTTCATTGGCTCGTTCGTGCGCAGGCCTTGTGCGATCCGCAAAACGGTGGAGCTTTGAGTGACAAGCAGCAGCTGGTCCTCTCCAAGATTGCCTTCCCAGGCCTCTCACCTTATTTAAGGCAGACCATCGCTGCTTCCCAAGTTCCTTCTGCCGGTTCAGGTCTATTGGCTCCTCAGCAAGACAAGACCGCGGTGGAGCGCAACCGAGAGGACCTGACGATCCTTTATGGGACCGGGATCAGAGGATCCGTTGCTCGATGAGAAGCTAATCCCAAGCGGAAATGCAGGAGCTCATGATCGCTCTTGCACTTGAAGGGACACGGCCTCGTAAACAGAAGCGAGGGGTCAGGGGGTGATGGCCTATGGACGTGAGGCCGATTGGAAAGCCGCTAGTGCGTCTCGGCCAAGTGGATCCCAAGGACCCTGCAAATTCTCAGGAAGGAACCATAGCACGCATGAGTGCACAGGACTGCTTGGGCACCCCACTGCTCACCCACGGGGCCTGCGCCTTACAGACTCGTTGGCTAACGGCTACAGCTCGCAATTCGCATGATCGAGTTTTCGAGCTTGGTTCATGGTGATGCCGAGATTCACGATGTGGCTATCGCATGGGCGCATCCAGCAGCATGGGAGGTTGGAAAGGCTGGGTGATGAACAGATGAATGGGCAGAGACGTCCGTTAGTTCACGCTCAACCTGCCCAACCTGCAGGTGCTGTACCACGGTCCCGAACAGCTGAACCTTCCGATCCTTCGCACCAGCAGCTCCAGCCTCGTCTGTGCACAGCAGGCGGCAGAATGCTTAAGACGCCTCGCCCGAGGAGGTCGAAAGTGGGTCTCCTTGGCACAAGTCGTTTGTGCCCCAACGTGCGTACGACGTGGGCCATGCACGCTATTCACGCTCAACCTCAGCCCGTGCGAGCACTTTGTGATCGCCTCCGAGGTCTGGGTCCTGCAGCCCAAAGAGCTTTGTCAGGCAAGGTCTTGGCATGTGTTAAAAACTCCCGTCATGCGTGGGTCTCCATGCAGGAAGTAACGGGCCAAAGCTGGGCGACAATCTTGCAGACAGAGGCACCTGAAGGGCGTGACACATCGCGGACACGACATTGCCATGCAATTTCGTTGGTGGGGCGGCGCGCATCGCAGGCGAAAGCAGTGAGCAGCGCCAAGATCTCGGAAGTTGGAGTCATGCCGGGGAAATGAGAGGAACTTCCGCTCTGCAGAACAAGGATTGGCAGCATGCAGGTTTGATGGGGAAGCCGCACAAATCCAGGTTCCACGGGAAGTGGGAAGTGTTCCAAGCAGGGCCCGTGTAGATGACGTCATCTCGACTGATACTTTCCAGTTGATGTGGCTCAGCCCCCGGAGCACTGCCAGGGATGCGGGCAACCCTTTCGATGTCTCCCGGATCGACCTGCTCCGGCTGTTGGCCCGATATTGCCAGGTAGTCCGCTGAATCTCAAAGCAGCGCTCCGCAGCAAGTGACTCCTTACGATGCAGGCCCAGCTGCAGCTGGTGGCATCTTTGGCCAAGGCCACGAATTATGAAATAGGAGACGCCATCGTTGCATCCCGTGCGTATCTTGACAAGGACCGGCAGATGAACAGCATCATGGCGGAAACCTTACAGGGCCAAACTACATCCTCAAATTTCGCCTGCTCCGCGACAAAGTGCGTCTTGATTCTGCGAGCTGATTGGACCTTTGCAGGCATTGCAGGAGGAATATTCCTACAAAGTTTGCTTGAGTGGCGCTGCGGACACCAGATTGCTGCGACCCCAGCTCCGGGGATCAAAACCGAAGGAACCTCTGCTCGTCCTCTTGCCAGGCCGTCCAGTATCCGTGCGAGCTTTTTCGACCTCTTAATGGCACTCTGGGTGGATAGGCATCCGCACTACCAGGTGCGGCCGTCGCCTTGCTGTACGAACGCAGAGCTGCTTGTAGCTGGCAATAGCCATTGGTCGTAGGACTGAGAGAATAGGTGGCTGCGTGACATGTTTGCACTTGTCTTTATGTTATATTCGTTTGGCCAGCCGAAGGTGGTGGTGTCCGTTCCTCAGCGTTAGGGACTCTAGTGACAGAGCCCAGAACCTAGACAAGTCAAGCGCGGTGTCTGAGGCCTCGCCTGATGCGCTCTGCGCGTCCTGGCCAGGCGGTTGTTTTTTTGCACACTCGGATTGCGGCGTTTGGTGTTCTGGCCCTGCGGAAGAGGCAGTCCTGACTTTGCCGGTCTTTCGGCTGGCCAAGGACAGTATCAGTATAGAATATGTGAGGATGGAGCGAGACGCTGCTAACAAACACAGCACTTCCTGTTGGGCAGTATGAGAAGAGAGCTCTGCAGACTTTGTGCAAATCGGGCTCAAGACTGCAAAGTGGTCTTTGGCTAGGCCGTAGTTTGTTCAATGATCCGTCCGTATAGGTGAAATGCCCGGAGGGCATTCCAAGATCGGCATAGACCATGCGCTGTCCCAGAGTGCTGGTATTATGCGTTTCTTTGATACCCTACGCCGCCGAGCGACGGGGCCCTGGTATGACCCATGTTCAGACAGGGAGGCATCTGAGCTTCGCACTGTGCTGAGGAGTGCCTTCGCTCGAGAAGTTAGACATTGGGAAGCCGCAAAACGAACGGGAGCTCGCTGTCCTATCCAGGCCACAAGAAGGTTGAAGTTTGAGTTGTATGTCCTGGTAGACTGCTGCTGCTGTTGCTCAAGTGATCTCAAGTGTCAGGAGTTTACAAACGAAGGTGTCACGCGGCTTCTTCAGTCGCCAAGCCCCAAGTGGCTCTCTAGAATCTACAGCACGAGGCATGTGTCAGAAAGCAGCGGCGGAGGTCACCCAGACAGCGATGCGTCCCTCCTGATGTCAGCAGTCGGAGGCTTAGACGGCTTAGACGTACAGCAGGGCTGGTTGCTTGGGCTGTTTGTTTTCCAGGAACGAGGCGATGCTCTTCAGCATCTCCCCAGCACTTGCACCAACGGAACCCTTCGGCTCGCCGGCAAGTACGAGGTGCGATACAAAAAGCGGAAACCTCCTTGTGACTCGTCGTGCCGGGAATGACAAATGCCGCGAACAGGTTAGAGAGGTCGTCGCGTTTCAAGGAGATTGCGACATCGTCGGTGACGGTCCGCGCCCTGTTTGAGGCATCATGTCTGCAAGTCCTTGCCTCTGATGTAAGGCGCAGAGCTGAAACTTTACGAGCGTTTGATCTTCAATGGCAGCGTGCACTTCTCCGGCGTCATCAGAGTCTCCGCTCAGCGCGCTTTGCTTGGGGCCTGCCTGAAGGTAAGAGGCAACTGCACCGTAACGAAGAGTGCAGAAGTGGCCTTCCGGGGCTGCAGCAACGAAGCTGTCATTGGAGGCAAGAGAGTCGGAAACAAGGGGGACTTCAACAGCCGCAGAGGCAGCAGAGGCCTGCAATATGTGGAACGAGGAGGGGGTCTCAACGTTTTGGGAGCCCTTCAGATTCTCGGGAATCTGAGCTTTCACAACTGCCACAGCTTGGGAAGTGGAGGCGGCGCAGCCAACGTCAGGGGTTGCTAAGCTGCCACGGTGGAGGGCGTAGAACTCGGTAAGCATTCACATGCCTCTGTGAGCTGCAGTCAAGGTCCGCATGTAGGACCTGTGCAGGAATATCACGACAACTACTAGGATAACTAGGGTCCTTAGTAAGGAAGCTTCTGGGATATATGCAATGTTGCTGGACCAAGGTCCAGTGCTGCAAGAGGGCGGAACCCTTGTGGTGACTGAATGCTCATCCGAAATGCCTGGAGGCTGGCCTCCGTGGGTGTGGGAGGTGCATTTCGAGGGGCCTCGTAGAGTTTAGTTTAGAGCGACAAGCCCGCCTCACCAGTCTTGTTCATCTTTGTCCAGTGACCACTTCAGCTCTCAGCCAGGCGGCATCTATGCTCAAGGAGGCTTTGACCAGTCTGGCGGAGATGTGCAGATCTCGAGAGTCAGAGCAGGCAACAATGGAGGTGCCGCGACTTTCGTGACTTGGGCAGGAGTTGAGTCGGGTAGCCATGATAGGACAGACTGCTGGTTGCAGGTGCCATCTTGGCAATGGGACGGTTCAGCCAGTCTGGTGGCACAATGCTTATCCAAGAAAGCACCATCACGAACGGTGAAGGAGGCCGGATTGGAATTGCATTCACGGCATCCGAGGCAGCCAGCGTGCTCCAGATTGGCAGTAGCCTGTTTGTGAATTATGGGTTGTGTGGTAGAGCTGCCCGTGTTCAGAACGAGGAGGTGCCATTGCCACTGCTCCTGCTCCTCACAAGCAGACCACCTTCGTCCAGTCTGGTGGCACCCTGCGAATAGAGCACAGCTCAGCCCCCAAAAGAAGTGACAAAAGAGGAGGAGGTGGAGGCAACGAGCCTTCCTTCCAGCATCTCTTGAAGATTCATGTCCACTGTGTCGTGCTCGCACGCAGAAAGACTAAACATGGCAGGAGCCGTTTTCACGCACTTCTTCTACAAGTCCGGTGGCCAACTAGTATTCAACAACTGCTCGGCGGTGTCTAACTCCAAAGCCGACAGGTTAGGAGGCCACTCGTCTGCACCGGATGGCTCCGATCCCAAGGATGGCCGTCTTGGACACTTCTGATGACCGCTGTCAGGTGCAATGTTCGCAAAGGGTGGCTTCAGCATGTCCGGCGGCTACTTTCGCGCTGAAGACTGCTCCGCAAAGAAATATGGAGGCAGCACTGCTTGCCAAAACAATCCGGCTTCTGTCACCAGCCTGGTAGCAAGATCTGATTCAGATATGTCGTGCAGCGTTGCAAGCTGCAGCTATACTGTTCCACTGCATCGCGCAGTTGCTCCTCATAGTGGCCCCAGCCAGATCTTTACAGCTGCATGTGTGCTTTCGCCTTGACCTCCACCCTGCAGTCTGCCACGAGGTGCACTCCATACTTACGGCAACATGAGCGTCTCTGGGGGCGAACTCGTGTTCGAGAGATGCTCCCTGACGCATCTCGTGAAGAAAGCCAAAAAGAAGAACATTTACCAAGAGGAGAATCAGAAGAAGCGTGGGCGGACCAATGGAGGCTGGTACAGCACTTTGTGTTTTCAGAGCACCAAACACATGACACAAAAGTCATCGCCGGTTGCAGCAGTGGATGCTAGCCAGAAGATGCCAACATTCGAAAAGGTACCCTGACGCAGTACCATGGCATCGAACCGTTTTTGCATGCAGCGCTCTCTAACGGCAAAGTTCGGGATTGCGGGAATCGTCTCTTTTCGATGTATCGACCTCTGCAACCCGCAAGTGTAGGTTCGTCCTAAAGGAGGCGGAGCCAAACATATGTCGCTGCACGGGGGTTGTCAAAGTTCACTCTTCCAGATGTATCTCTTTCCGAAGGGCAGTTCCGCCCGTCAATAGGCTTCTTGAACATGCATTGGAGGTTAAGGCAGCTTCTTTGCTGCTTGCTTGTGCCGATGTTCTCAACAAGTTGGGTGTGCACTACTCAGTACGCCATCACGCCGCGTTTTCTAGTCTGATCTTATGTTCTAACTCTGGGAGCGGAGCTTCTGATTCTAAGTTCTGTTATCATAGGCTAGAGTCGGCTAGAGCGGCTACAGTATGGGCATATGAGGTCATATTGCATGGACTAACGTTGGTTGGTGGTGGGTCTCGTTTCGACATGTTGAACCTCAAGCAAACTGTAAATTGCTCATATGTATGTAGTAGAGGGAACACGAGCCAGACTGATTCATGAATCGAAGCGGCCTGCAGCTGTCCGTCTCACTGGCTTTCACTCCTGAAATGAAGACATTTGACTTGGCAACACGGGCACTTCGCTTTGACACCATGCTCCACAGCCAAAGCTGTGAGCACCAACGCTGGAAAGATGTCCTGGCACTTACCTACCGAAGCTTCGATATCTCGGCATTTTTGTCTGATGTGCTTCTAACCGTTTCTAGCGGGAGGGAGGTTTGCCTCGTCGTGCCGTCTGTTGACGTCACTTCTGTTTTGTGCAGTACGGCAGGTGCCATCAACGCCGTAAACTTCATCCAGTCGGGCGGCACGGTGCGGATTGCAGACTGCGCCACTGACGAAGGGAAGGGTTATGGAGGCAGAGTTCTGGTGACATCTTGTGACCATCAGCCATGACTCCGATAGCCATGTCTGCAACTCTGGGGCAGGTGGTCTTAGTGCCCTTCAGAGTCTCACGCTGGCTGGTGGCATTCTGGACGTCAGACAATCTTCTTCATCCTATTATGGAGGCGCTCGGCGTGCATTGATGTTGTAGACGCCTTCCTCTGAGACTATTGGGCACAGCTTTGCCAAGCTGCTGCCGAACGTCTGCAGTGGGGACCAGTAGTCTCGTGCTACAGCGCAGTATCTAACCTTTGATTTAGCCGAGTGGTTGCTATTTGAACTCATGCTTCAGGCCTTAGACCCTGCACAATCGCAAGGGAAGCTAGAGTTTGATCTGCTTGCAGAGAATCGGGAAGCATATGTGCGCCCGTCGAAGGTGGCGTGTACACCAGGACCTTTACACAGCTGGGCGGCATGCTGAATCTGCAGCATTGCTTTGCAGTTCAAGGAGGCCTCTCCCTCTCTGCGTACGTGGGCATATACATACACATGTTTACAGGGATGATGTACATATGTATATCATGGCATACACGCACACACGCACACACATAGCGTGTCTGCAGTTTGCACCTGTTTGAAGGGTTTTGAACGAGGCTGAGTGACGAGAATCGTGTTGATATGAATTGGCTGCGTGGTTCCGGTGGTTCGCGTTGGATGCTATAAGTTTCAGTTTTCCCCTCATTTTGTGTTGAGTCTTGCGCTAAAGCAGGTTTTCAGTTGTTCAATGAATTTGTTCACGCTCCTCGATGCAAAAATGCTAGACTGCTAGACTAGATGTGGCTCCATCTTTCGAAACCCAAAATGCTAGACTAGACATGACCCCGTCTTACCGCGATTACATTATGTTCGCGCAAGCCTTTCCGGTTTCAAGTGTGATAATGTCCTGCAATGCCTTCGGGCGCCACCTGGGCAATCACAGCGGAGCTGGTCTGCAAGCCGTTGTCATCATATTCCTATCATGATTTTAGTTCTATTTTTTATTAGTAGTATTATGAGTATTATCATTATGATTATGACCATTCTTGCTAATGCTATCCTATCGAAGCCCTGCCCCCCACGTTACGAGAAAAGACAGGAGTCATAATAATAATGATAAAATACAAATAATCATAAAAATCATTATCATAATTAGTATTATAGTAGTAATAATAGAAATATTCACCGTAATTAATAGTCATGTCTATGTAATGTGGCCGTTTCCAGAGCCGGAGGAGTAAGCCCAAGCAGTGGAATTTCCAGCCTTGAGTTTTGCGTGTAGATTGCCCTTCTTGGCATTGCCGTGCGCCTCTCGTGAAGGTGTATCCCAACATTTAACATGATGTTTTAGAGATCCAGCTGTTTAGCTGCGTGATGTTCAGGACACTTAAAGGACACAGACTCCAAATTACCCACCACCGCTGTAGGGAAATTTGATGCTGATGCAGTTCAGGTCTCCAACCTTTGATTCAAACATCTGCATCATCTAAGACTCTTGCCCACGTGGGCTGGACCGCAAGCCTGCACCTGTGTTGATGGGTAAGCCGATTGAGCTTTTCTGAGAACGTTCTAGGTTCAACTCGGGCGAGAGAGATGCAAGCAAGCATGGCGCAACCCATGCGGTTTTCAACGATCATTGTAGTTTCCACCCGCCGGAAGCAAAAAGACAGCGTCTACAACCGCGAGCAAAACATATACAAACACTGATTGTTTGTGGTACTTTCTGTTGAGCATTGAAGCAAAAGCATTTCCAAGTGTCATTAGTGCAGTTTGATTCTGCCCTGGAGACCAAGATTTCTATTCTTGCATTTTCAGCTTTCTACCAAGTATACAACGTGAGTGATGGTTGAAGTTCCGGAATCATTGAAGATGCACCCTTTTATCACGTAGTGTAGGTGGAATCAAGACATGAAGTATCACTCGCACATAGTTGAACCCAGTTGAGACAGGTTTCGGTCAGAGTCCCATCCCAAATTGAATATACACGCACATTTATCTATAATTACATGCGCATTTACAGTATGACTGTGTAGTGTCGTGTGTCCACGGCTGGGCAAATTGGATTTCCAGCTTTGGTTCGTTGGCAGTTCCAGGCGGCATCTATGTGAACGATGGTCCAGCCAATCAGATTGCTGGGAACATCTCCGTGCTCGGTTGCCATGCATCGGGACAGGGCGGAGGAATATTAATACACAACAGTAGCTTCAGTAGCCACGGCTACTTGGATGTCCAGCAATGCATGGCGTTTGGCGACAAAGGTGGCGGCCTCTTGGTCGATAGATCCAGTGTCAATTTATCAGGGCAGGCATCGTTTGTAGACTGCAGTGTTGAAAATGGAGATGGCGGCGGCATTTATTCCCGCGGCAACATTACGATCACTGGGCCAGCAACATTCAAGAATTGCGACGCCAAGTACAAAGGTGCCATGGCAGCAAATTAGGATCTCCACTTGTTTCATCGTGTCGCCTTGCTGTTCCAAGCTTGTTGGCTTCGGCGCTCTACAGAACATGCATTTGTTGCACACGGGATTGTTAAGAAAAGCCTGTCGAAGCGGAGAGGAGTTCTGCAACGTGCGTGCCAGGTGGCGGCTGCATCAGTTGGGAGTCCGTGGAAATGCAGAATGCCACGTTTGATCACTGCAAGGCAGTTGGTGCTGGGCTTTGGGCTAAACAAAGCATCAAGATTGCATCGACGACTTACATTGGCGAGCCTCAACCACCGCGTGGTGCAAACAGCTTCATAAAGTGCGACCAGAAAGGAGCCATGTCCTTCGATGTCGTGTATTGCCCCAGAGGCTCCGGCCTCCGTGTCGGTGTCCGAGCAATGGGATGTTACATGTGCAACCCTGGCCGCACACGGCTTTCGAGCAGTGGCAACGATGTCTGCGTGGACTGTCCGGAAGAAGCGACTCACAATTGCACGCCAACTGAACTTGCGCTGCTGCCTGGCTTTATGGTGCCTTGCATGCACCAGCTGTTTGAAGCCGATGGCGTGAGGGTATTGAACTGGCAGAAATGTCATGAGACGGTGTCTTCAACACGCCTGCCCCCTGTGCTCAGGCCCAGCTCGAGGATCCCAGGAATCTCTCGCGGATTTTCCGCTGCCCAAACGAGAAAGCATGTCCGGGGGGGATCGTCGCCGCAGCTGAGTCGTTCGGCCAACCACCGGAGACAGTCCAAGCCATGTGTGCGTCTGGATTTGAGGGGTTGGGGTGACTTGGTGGACGTCATTCAACAGATTTTCTAGCCAGTGACACACGAAAACATCTGTGCCTCTCACAATCCACAGCAGTCAACTTCAGAGCCTTTTTCGCCAATCTGTTTTGGTCGACTGCACACACCCGAGGTGTTTGCAGTGCAACGCGTCGTCCCATGCCAGATCCGACAACAGTGTGTTGCAGTGCATCAAATGCGAAGACTCCTTCAGTCAGGTTGGCGGAGGAAGGAAAGACTGGTAAGAAAAGTCGCTGTCATTTCCCGGATGGCTTCCAAGCATGACATGTCAGGTGGCTACGCATGTGATGTTCTATGTCGGAAAGGACGGCAGACAACAAGTGGTCCGAGCCAGCGTCACAAGTAAGAGATAGGAGCAATGATAGCAGGTGGCTGCTGTGCGATCTATGCCTTTGCTTTACGCTTACCTTCACCAAGTATGTCCAGATGTTTCTCTATTCTCTATCAACAAATCCGGAGGACACCCTTCTGTTCACTTCAGCTGCCCTCAGTGTGCTCAACGTGGGGTCTAAGAAGACCAGCAGTGGAGTCTTGATCAACCAGCTTATGGCCTTCGCAGCAGTGTCAGGGAGCATAATGTCACCCGACTTGGTCAGAGGGAACTTGTGGGGTCTCCGGGTGCTGTGATGCAGCTACCGCCCTTCCATCAGGTCTGGGGTGATGCAAACGCAATCCTTCCGCACACTCAAACAGAGCACCCGGGAATGGTTGAACGGCCTGGGCTTGGCTGTGGATACGCTGCAGGGAACGAGCCTCGGCAGAATTGGAATCTAGCTTTGATCGGTCTTTCCAATGATTTTCAACCTTGTGCCACTCACAGCCGCCCTTTGCTGCACTGCAGGGCTCATGCAACAAACCGAGGAGCGGTTCTGCCGGCATGTCCCTCGAATGCATTGGCGGTGACTTGGGCCTTGGCAAGTCCCTTCTCCATGCACACCTTCTCTCTTGCATCACGCCGCTCATCCTCATCGACACTTGCCATGATTATGATCACTTCAAGGCAAGAAACACATCGTTCCATTTGAGGCGGTGGGAGGGCATCGTTTGATCAGGTCTTCCTGGCCATCAAAAGGGACCCCTGGTTGGCGATGGTGGTTGGGACCAATGTCTTCCTGCCGGGCTTCGTGGCCTTCTTCGGGAAGTATCTGGTAATGCTCAGGCTGCGGCCAGAGGGCGAAGTCGGAGGAGTGCCCAGAGCGGCAGAAGGGATGTGCTTTCGTTTTGATAGAAAGCCTCCCAGCACTCGCACAGGCCCTGACACTTAGACTCAATGCTCTGTGCTAAAATTCGATCCAAGGAGATGCGTTATGAGTTCCTGCCACCAATCCTGCAGTCGCCGAACGAGGTGATTACACTCATCATTGTGATCGTGTCGGCTTGCTTCTCCCTGGCCATATACGGATGGGTGCATGCCGTCACTTGGCGCTTGCCAGTTTCATCTTTCTTAACATGTTTTCACCATCCCGATCCACTGACGAGGGGAACTACACGCCAAGGCTTTTTGGCAGTGTTTTGTCCCGTTTGCACAAGCGAGCCCAGGTGCTTCGAAGGGAGGAGCCGCCCCCCGTACATGTAGCATATCTGATGCTGCCATACAAGCCCGAGTTTGCTTTCTGGGAGGCCCGATAGGTACTTGTAGCCTTGGTAGCCGTTCCATGCAAGGGTTCTTTCTGCCAGTCCCTCCATGAAGCCCAGAATGGAGGTCGAGCGGCTGGTGCGGAAGATGCTCCTGGTGCTCGTCAGCTCGATGCTGCCCACGGCAATCTCTCCCGACTCCTGCCGGATGATTGTATACATCTAGGTTTGCTCCATCAGATGTCCGATTCCAAAGTCGATGACTTAGGCTTTGCAGATGGAGGGGATCGCACTTGTCCTACTTTGCTCATTGGGTCTCTATGCCTCGTTCCGGCCCTACAAGGCTGGCTTTAGATTTGAAAGAGACTGCAACCAGATCTCATTTGCTGCACATCGGAAGGCGGACGCCTGGAACCTGGCTGAGATCTCGCTGCTTCTTGTGGCCTTGGCCATTGCAGGGTTGACGACCTGCTTGCTCGCAAACGAGCCTTGTCCAGATTTCAGATCACCATCCAGCTCGAAGACTTTCTTCGGTACTTGCAAGCTGAAGCGCTGCACCCGTGCTGTCCTCCATGGTGATGGTTGTCAAAGTCCCCCGATCTCTCAGGATCTCCACTGGGCGCACTCAGAATCAACACAAGTCGTATTGATCTACCTGATCTGTTCACTGGCTGCAGACCCTCAGCTGCATAAAACCTTTGATCGCCGCGCTCTTGATTCAAAGCTCACGATGGTTTAAGTCACGTTTACGAGATGCCCCTTCAAGGGAGCACCCTTGGTCTAGCTATTGCTCGAAAGATTGAAGCTACAGCTAAGGGAATATCAATCGGGATGGCTGTGTTGATTGCTTTCGCCCTGCTGCGTGAACGCCGCGAGCGCAAGCAGCAGGACGGGGTGTGACTCTGCGCAGTGGTATGAAAAAAAGAGGCTGCATACAAAGTTCTCAGGATTCGTATTGAGCCCAGATTGCTGAATGTGATGCAGTGGTAGTTGTTTCAGTGCAGAAGCGCTGTGCCACAGCCGGGTTCTGAAGTCCTGGCCAGGATTTGTCCCGCTTGACTTTGGGCCCTGCGTGCAGCTGCTAAGCAAGTCAGAAGCACATCTGATCACGTATGTGTACCATCGTGTACCCACGCTACTTGTAGCTGGCAGTTGTGGCTTACAAGTTACAAGTATTCGGCTTGGAAATATCAAGGTGAATCTTCCCATCATTGGCTCTCACAGTCTAGTAGTCCAGGTTAAAGAAACCAGCTCCAAGGAATTTCGAATGTCTGAGACGAGCGGCAGGGATGGGGAGTTTGCGATGTCCGCCTTTGGCCCGGTCACTGTCGCCCCGACTGCTGCCAAGTGAAAGGCGCATAGCTGGCAGGCCATGCAGGCCTCCTTCTTTCTCAGGCCAGCTTCCCACATGGTCAACTGCCACATTGCTAGGAGCGCTGTCATGCGCCAAAGATCGCCGACTACGTTCGCTTGGCACCTCTCTGCATTGCCAATGGCGCCGTTCCATCTCGCAGCGTGCCTCGCCCGCTGCTCCTGCTACGCCTGTGCCAAGCCGCAGTCCTGTACATATACTGTCGGCATGCAATGCATACAGGCAGGAGACTATCATTCTGGAACGGAGCGCCGCCGTGCATGGCTACTCATTCCGTGCTGTTGGACTAGGTGAGCCGTTCACCGGAGTTGGCATGAAGCTAATTCTTTACGACAAGGCCTTGACTGAGATGGTTGGTCGCCAGATCCCGCCCAACGAGCCGGTTTTGCTTCTCGACGCTTGGGACACCATCATATTGGGCCCCGCAGAGGAGTTCGCCGAAAAGCTGCTAGCTAGCAACATTCTGTCCAATGGAGTGGTACTTTGCGGTGCAGATCGTATTTGTGCCCCGGATTACAAAATGGCACCCAAAATGGAGCGGCATTTTCCTGACATACAGACACCATGGAAGTATCCCAATTCGGGATGCATGGTGGGCACGGCGGCGGCTATGCGAGCTTTCATTCATGGCTTGGTCCATGGGACCGACGGTGGGTCATACACAGCTCACGACGACGATCAGCTTCGCGTCCAGCAGTTTCTCCTCGGTTGGCAGGAACAAGGTATACGCTACCCTTTTCAGCTCGACACAGACTGTTTTGTCTTTCAGAACATGGGGGAACCGGAATGCGGCTGGGATTTCGAAAAGGGGGATGCTCAAGGTCCCCGCATTCGAAATCTTACTACGGGTCACCGGCCCCTGGTCGCCCACGGCTGTGGTGGCCATGGCCGGTGGTTCCTCGCAGATATCTACCGGGATCTGGACTTATTGGAATTCTTGAAGATTTCACCGGACGACCTCGCCGGAATCCCCTATGCTGGCCTGGTGCCCCCTGGTGACGAGATGAAGGAAGAGTACTGGGTCGATCAACCTCCCTGGGAATTCCCCTTCCAGGCTTTTGAGGTGATCCGTGGTGTGGCTCTCCGTGAGGAGCACGAGGCTCAGGATCGACTCTTGGAGGGATCGAAGTGACTTCCTTGTTGTGTGCAGCGAGAAAAGAGCGCCAGGCAAGGGGTGGGTCAAGGTGGGCTTTGCGACACTGCGTGGGGCTGTCCAAACCTGCTGCATGCAGCGTTGCTACCTCGGTTGGGTTGGCCGCTGTTCCTCGGGACGTGTCGCACGGAAGCGTTAGAATTAGAATATGGATTGAACTAGCTCTGCGACTCTAGTTGGGACTTGGGGATTCCACGCGATTAGACATCATGCGGGGGCGCAACCCAGACTTTGTCACAGCAGAGACATCCCAATTCAGGAGGCGAAGCCTGAAGCCTGGACCGCACCAGCCCTCAGAGTGCAACTCGCAACTGTCTCGCAGAGTCCCGAAACTATCTACTGCAGGGGCCAAATTCTCTATAGCAAGTGAGGCCGAACATGCGAAGTCCTTGTCCGAGGAGGCTGGTGCTGACGGCGCCTTTCTGTGTGCTGCCGGCCGACATGCACTGCTGCACTGCATGTTCAACAAAGTTAAAATGTCATGTTTCAAGACGCGTGATGATGCTGCAGCCGCGTTGAAGTCGGGTGGATGCTAGGTCTTGTCTTTCTACAACTTGCGGACGACTGAGAAGCTGGAGGGCCTGGTGCAGGCAGCCGGGTATGCATGCCACAGCACATGAAGCATGCTTGTCCGAGCTACGCTCCTTGAAGGGTCTGGAGTCTGGGGGCCTTGCTTGAAATTCGCGTTCCCTCGCGGCACCCTGGGCACTTCACGGTTCGGGTTTGTTCGGTCATTCTAGACTGGGGCTCTAGAGTCACGCGGGTGCCCTTTGTTTGGCTTATCTCAAGCGAAGTTTATCTTCGCATTGAGCCTCAGAAAGGAACAGTCTCTGTATGCTTCGGCTGGAAAGTTCGCTCGGCCGCTTATTTTTGCCAAGTCGACGCTGTGTACACACTGGCTAAAGCAGGGCACCGTAGACACATTACAATGAAGCGATGTGGAAATGCTAAGAGCAATGACCAACACTGCAAACATGGCAATGCTAACAACAACAGCAACAACACCAGCAGCAGCAACAACAACAACAACAACAACAGCAGCAGCCACGGCCACAGCCACCAGCAGCGGCAACAGCAACAGAAGTCTAACTTGTGTAGTGAGAAGCATGCTTTGGTTTGCAAATGTCAGCCTGTCGTCTCCAGCTGGACAGGCCGTTTGCCACTACCTGACGGGCGGTCCCAAGGCCTTCTGCTCCGAGGGAGCAGGCACGCGCAGCCGCAGCCAGAGTGGCCCAGCCCAGGTTGAGCACCAGGTTCACAGCCAGGAGGATGACAACAAGCTCACGTTGGTTCTTGGCTGAGAGTCGCACCGTGTGCGTGGTGATTTGCGTTCCGAGAGTCTGCTTCTTACAAGGCCTGTTGTTCCAATTTTGGAATCGACATGCTGCTTGCTACCGCTTCTTTTCGGAAATGACAGCACATCAGTACACATCAGTACTTCGCAACCTGATGGACAATTCCGGTTTACGGCTGACCAGGATTCAGGTATCGTGGTGTAGAAACGCGAAAGGCCTTGACCAAGAAACAACATTGTGTTCTAAAGCCAGTTGGGTAGTTCTCTGAATTAGGGTCCCTGTTTATTTTCTTTTTAGAAGGGTGCCGTACTAGATCTTCGCTTTAGAAAGCGACCCTATTTCAGAGAACTACCATGAACTACCCACTTGAAAGTGCACACTTTCGCCGGTCTGCTCAGCAATCCCCGTCCAGTCAGACTCAGATAGGCGTCGAGTCTTGAAGAGGCATGGAATCTAACAGAGTTGGACCTCGCCGGCAAGTGTCAGAGCACTTGGGAGATTCCGAGCCTTGAGACGGAGAAGCACAGGAAGTTGAAGCACAAAGTGTAGCAGGAGCACTCAGAAATGGCTCCCCCCTTTCAGAAGTCCGTGCGGAGCGGTCGGGATTCGGTGGCTAGCAGTGCCCGCCACCCAAACTCACACGATGAATGCGACATCCTGCACTTCGAGGCGATCCGGTCACTGCAGGCTTCAGGAGGCTACCAGCAATGCAGAATACTGCAATCTCTCCCCTGCATACAAGCGAGCGGTGCCCCCACCATGACAAGCCAGTCACCACGCAGCAATCATTGCTTGCTACAGCCATCCCTACCCAACCTGCCTGAAAGGATATGCGAGATTTAAAGCAAGTTACCGAGCAATCAGCTACAAGCCTGACAAAGTGCAGCAAAATTGTTCGGCACAGCACGAGCAACCCAGCCAGGAACGACATGTGTGACCTCGAGCAAGGTGCAGTACATGCAGGCGATTCATCCCTGCAAGTTCTCCAAGGCCGTTGTGCAAACCTTGCAGTTCTTACTGCGGTTTGGCTTCATCCGCTCTTTCGAGCCCGACCCTCAGCATTGTTGTTCGTGAGTCCCTGCTGAAGCCAGTGACCGCGGCAGGATTTGCTCGCAGCTGCAACCGGCGCTGCTTCGGCTTCTGGATGGCAGCACTTGCCTCATGTGCTGAACAGTCAAGGGGTCCGAATGTGTCAAGCCAAACTGTGGGCGATATTAGCCATGTTGACCCGTTGCAGCCCTCAGCCTCAGGAACAGACTTTCTCGATCCACCGGAGGCAAACCGAACAGTGCGTCTGTGCTATCCGTATAGCATCTGCAAACTTTTTGTCTTCTTCTGACTGCGACTGGTGTGGGAAGAAGTCAGGGGCTTGTCTCCGGACTTTGTGACACTACTTGTAGCTTTGCGTGCGCAGTAGTAAGATCGCTGCAGCACATGTGCCAGGCGGAGGGTTTTGACAGTCCACGAAGCTCTCAAAGCACAAAGCCGTCTATACAGCGCATATGACAGTGTATAAGCCTTCAATGTTGGCGGCCTAAAATCACCCTCACGACATGTCAGCCTGGAATTATGAAAGACTCTGAGCTCACGATGCAGACGACGTCCGTGCACTTGCCGATACTTCTCAGCAACAGATGCGGTACACATGAGCAGTACGCACTGCTGATGCACTCATTGATGGGCTTCGTACGCTCGCTGCCAACACACCTCGCCGCCAATGGAGTCGGGAGAAGCTTGGCACAGGCTCGTTGAGCACAGCTGTGGCCACAGGAACTGTTGGTTCGCAATATACCACACAAGCCGCTTGGCGCTGAAAGCTCGCACTGCCCAAGGATGTGGACAATTACTTCATGCTCGATATGGAGGGTGCGCAAGAGGAAGGGGAAGAGGACCTCTGGACGAAGATGCATGAAACGATGAGAGCTGGGGCTTCTTGGTTTGAGGAGCTTGAACAGCCTCAGGAAGGCCAAGATGGCGAAGCAGAAGCAGAGGCAGACCTCGGGTGGGCAGTCGACACCGCTGCGGACAACCGGGTTCCTGACTCAGTTTGCCCCGCATCTTACTGTACCCCTGGCTCAGCCCTTCTGAGGATGTGACGGCAGATGTCTTGGACACCGACTTCGAGGAGTGCTGCACACATGTTTCGGTGCAAACCACCCGAAGCACAAGCCAATTTGTAGAGAAGATGTGCCAAAGCAGATTTCTTGGGTGCCCCGCGCAATGCGATCGGTTGGATGTTTCAGCATTGCGGCCAAAGCATTCGTTCCATGCGTTTTGTTCTGTCAGGAGTATGCCGCAGACTTAGAAGCGCAAGCGCAGCTGCAGATGGAAGCGGAGGTCGCCACACGCCATGGTCATGTCTGCAGAAGAGTTTACGTTCGAAAGACCTCAATGCTTGTGCACAAGTGTCTGGATGCCCACCCCAGCAGCACATCAAAGTCTTGGCTGCCTCAATTTGGAGGTGGACGCCCAAGCAGAGCTTGCTTTGGCTGAAGAGGATGCCCGCGCACAGGAACTGGCCCAGGACACTTTCAGTAGTCTAAATAATATGGTAATATATACTACAGTATAATATAGCACGCTATGATATGTAATGTAACATAATACAACTAAAAAACATTCTACCTTAAGGTGCCAAGTAAAAAGTCGGGCACTGGCTTGGCCCATCATACTGGGGTAGGTCCGAAGCTAGCGAGGCTAGCAGCGGCCAGCCAAGCAGGCCCCGATGCCGATTCTATAGTGCAACGAGATCTGCGGCTTCGACGATGACGATGCGTGAGAAATGGGGAGACCCGAATTGTAAGATCTCAGTGATGCCTTGGGTCAAAGAGAGAGTAAATTCTGCTGCGAGGAGGCAGCAGCGGTGGCAGCGGCCTTCGGGGAGTCTCGGTAGCTTCTGAAGATGTCATGTGTTCCTTGTGCATCCGTTCCTGAGAACTGGAACTACTGGCTTTGGGGGTGCAGTTTGTCGGGGATGATTTCTCGTGTTGGCTACGCACTGTCAATTTGTACACTGACAGCGAAGTCTCCCTTACCTGAGGTGGAAGACGAGGTCCCAAACTTCGCAATGGAGTTTGCTCCAGAGAATGGGACGCCCGTCCACATGCAGCATGAGGCTGGCGCCATGGATCTGCAGAAGCCGTTGCAGTGGTCCGGCGTAATCCGCAAACGTTCTGGGAGCGACATGATTTTCCACCATGCATGACAAGACTATTCTTAAGCAGGCACTGGACTTTGAGGCAGCTGGGGAAGCTGAGCCCGGGGAAGAGGCCATGCCAAGTTGCTTGCATTGTTTGTTCTGCCACAGTCACTAAGCTGGTCTTCCGACACTTTCCGAGCACAGCAACCGAAACACACGTTCGAACCGTCTCAGGAGGCTCCCGAGCAGGCTGACACAGAGGAGGCTGGATTGCATTGAATGTCCAGACAGCTGATTCATTGGCGCATAATTACTCATGCTGGGCTTTGCATCTTGTGCACAATCTTGAAGCCCTCGTCCAAGCACGAATTCTACTGTGAAAGCATTGTTGCAGGTCGCTGAAGGCGATGCAGAGATGCAAGAGGACGAGGCACACAGGCGCGATTGCATCCCAGTTTTTGTGTTGGCTGCCGTGCCTGATGTTTCAACGGCAGGGCGGATGAAGCCGGCGACAGTGCTGCGGTAAGCCGCTGTCCTGCGCGAAGCTTCGGTATGCTGAAGCTAAGAAGCTGTTTTCGTGTGAGCTGTCTACGAGCTGTAGGCCTGGCGTAAGATTTCTCGAAAGGCATAAACCGTACGTGCACATGGTTAAAACAATGTCTGTGTCGTCTTTTGAGAAGACACTGTCGAGTTGGATGGCTGGCCTGCTGTCACTGCTAGTCAGCCTCGTCAGCAATGTTTGATTCCGTTGGTGTGCATGGTCACACCCAACTAGGCAGGGGTGTCCTGGTAGGTGGAGGTTGACTTCTCGCTTGGGAGTTTGGTTTCTGGAGTGATTTTTCGGCATGCCGTCACCCTTCTCTTTCGTTGCCGACTGCGAGCCATGAATCAGCTCCGAGCATGAGAGGGTAAGTGCTTAAAGCCCGTTTCTGAAGCTACAGTTGAGGCTTGCAGCCATCACGGAAGCGGTCTCGCGATGCAGCCTTTGCGGAAGCGCAGGAGAGACCCTGGGGCATATTAGGCACCATGCTGAACCATCCGGGGCGATGGGTCTGCAGTGGTTTGGGGAGATGCCGACCTTTGTGGCGACAGTCGCCCCCAGACAAGCGGGGCTCAAAAGATCCAAGCCACCCAGGCGGCTAGCGCTGCCATTCGGGAAGAATGGAGCGGTCATGGCTTTTGTGCTTGGGTATTGGGGCTATGGAAGCCCTACAGGTTCTGAGGTGGGTGGCTTGACCGACTCTCATGCAGTTTGTCACCTCTTTTTCTCACTCCAAAACCTGCTGGTTACGCTAAACATTGTGCAGTGCATCCTATCACAGTTGCCCAAGGATGCCGAAATTCATTCCCCAAATCTGCAGCATTTGCTGCCTGCCGCCTCGTTAGGACTACCGTAATTCCCCGGGGGCGGGTGTGAGCATGCATCCATTCTCACACACATGAAGTACACACACAATATGTTTGTATGTCTCCCAATTATCGGTCTGGTTGGTAGGGATTAGGAGGTCAGTTTACAGATAGTAAGAAAAGCCGCGATTTGTTCTTTCCGTGGCCACTTTGGCGATAGCCGAACGGCCCGGATTGTCGGCGTGGTGAAAGATTATGATCCTTGACAGCAATGTCGTTCCCTGCAGCTGGCCCCGATCGCGGCACAGGAGCTCAGCCGCAGACTCCCCAGTTCGGGCTGCCCAGGAGATTGCAGCAGATGTAGGTCAATGGGGGCTCTACACGCTAGGGCAGGCTCAGACACCCGAGAACCTTTGCGACTGGGGAAGTGGGGGATTGACCGTTGTTCCGACCTGCGTGACTGTTTTCGCCGGCGGATCAGCAGAGCTTCTTCCAAGTGCAGAACAAATGTGCAAATGAGCTGAGCGATCCTCTCGGCGTGCTAGATCCCAGCGCTGTTCTGCACATGTGTTCGCATGTTCAGCACCATCCACTGGCTCAGGCACGGCGCTGGGATTCCATGCAGAATTCTCGTGCCTGCCTTGGAGGATCTCCACGCGCCCGCGGCGAAGAAGATCGGCGAGGAGATCTCGAGGTGCGTACCGTTGTTAGAGCTGCGGTTCGCCCTTGTGAAGAGCATGGCACGGCGTCGATCGGCTGTGCTGAGCTGGCCACAGAACTGGGTTTCGGGCCAGCCGACAGCCGACAGTTCGGGGGCGAGTGGACGCTCAAGCGGGGTCGGCGGCTGGTGCCCGTCCCTCTCGCTATAGAGGCCAAGCGCAATCGATGCGAGCCAAGGTGAGGTTCAATTCACGCCCAAAACCCAGGTGGCTGGTGAAGCTCGAACACGCTTCGTACGATCATGTACGAGATTGGCGGGTTCCGCACGATCAGGCAATGCGTTCGCCACTGGCAGGTCAAGACATGGGGCCCTTCCATCATACCAGTGCTCAGCGTCCTGCCGCATGTATGCAGCTCCTCGGGCAAATCCTGCCCCGGCTGGTGATGCCGCGTGCGAGATCCCCGAGCCGAAGCCCCCTTCGAGGATCCGATCGCAGACTTTTCCCCGGCTGTCGAAGCCTAGCTTTGTCGGCGCTGGGAATATTTCTTGTGATGTTTTCGTTCGGATGAATGTGGAGCGATCGCCAGCCCAGCTGGTGCGCCCCTCCGACGATCGGAGCATATGTTCGGAATGATGAAGATCTGAGATGTTCGGGATTTGATCTGTGGCCGACTCCCACGTTGCGGTCGCGCCAAAAGCGATTCTCGAGCATTGGAGATCTAGGAAACTGTTGATTCTATTTATATCAATGTGTTGGTTTAGCTTACATATTTTTACTCACCACCAACACAAACACCGGCACATGCACCCACATGCACCACATGTCGTCACCTTGTTCTTGGAAGGAGCTCCTGGTGACGGTCACACCAGACGCTTGGCTTCTGAAAATGACGTCCCTGTCGTTGCTGAACTTCTTGCGGTGAAGAGACCATCAAAGTACATGCGAGAGAGAAGGTAGATGAAATGTTCCGATATCACAGGCAGCTTTGTTGGGGAAGCTTCGGCGCCTGGACCCAATGACGGGCATCGACGAGTATTACATGGTAGAGGTGTGCCGGTGTGCCTCACTCACAAGCCTCAACCAATGGCTGCCTCGCACGCAGATGTTGTGATCGCTTCACTTTTTTGCGCTTGCGGGGGATTCTTCTCTCAGCTCGTCTCCTGCGGGCTGTCACGCCCACAGGGATAAGAAGATACAAGAACCTTGCAGGTTGAAGGTCAGCAACAGTTGGAGGGCCAGGCCCTCGCCGAGGAGTTCCCCGCACACGGGACGTGGGTGGAGGGCGTTAATCAGTCCTGGTGCCGCAGGACTTCCAACTCACCCGGGACTTCTACTCCGCACAGGCCACCGACATCGACGGAGCTGCGTCGAATGCAGACAGAGCCCTTCGCGGTCTGGTCTTATCCTGCTTTTGCTCGTGCCGACCATATCTCGTGACAACGCAGGCGCTGGAGAACTCCCTGGTGTCGATGCGTGCCGCAGTGCAGCGAGTGCAGTCACGAGTGAAGATCCCGGAGAACAGCAGCATAATAGAGGCTTAGCTTGAAGACAGTCTGTGGCAGCTGTCGGATGTTGTCCTGAAGCTGGCAGCTGAGGAAGTCCTTCCAGGCCGTTTGACGTGCTCATGTCTTGGGCTGTGCTAAGTCTGCTAAGTAGCACATCGTGCTTGATCCGCACGCCCTGACTTGCCAGATTCACGTATGTCAAAGCCGGGCAAGCAGGCCCACCTGCCCGGCAGGCCGCATCTTTCTTGGCGATGCTGCTGCAGCTCGTAATATCCCGGCCATTCTGCAGAACAAGATTCAGAAGGCTTGTGCATCATTCTTGCAGTGCTCTAAGCGGAAGCACAATGCTGTTTCTGCTTGCATGTTGGAGTCTCGCATCCTGCATGAGCAGGTCATCAACTGCTCTCCACAAACTGCCACCGTCTCAGTCACGACCATTAATTTCATCATTCGCACAGGGAGCGCGTCCTTGCCGTAAACTCTTCCCATGGCCGAGGTGCGAGACACAGGCCAGCAAGGAAGCATGTGAGAATATGTGGCGGAATCTGCACTCTGTCAGGCCAGGGGTTCTACGGTCCCGGAGTTGAGTATCTCGAGTTGTGGCATGATGCCTCTCCGCCTCCCATAGCAGATTGTTGGCCACTTGCACATTGTGGTGTATGCAGTGCAGTGATAGCCTCACGGTATTCAGAGTGAGACTATCATCCGCGATGACCAGTGTGACAGGGTTGTTTGACACGATGTGGGGACAGTGCAGCGACGAAACACCCTTGAGTGAGAAGTTGTTCAGAGTACCACGTGGCGAGTTGGCCTCTCGATCTTCGTCCGTCGCCCCTGCGGAGCAATCAGAGTCATTCGGGGCAGCTGTTCGGGTTTTGGGAATCTGAGCCGCCAGCAAAGGACTTTGAGGACTATTGCATCCTGTGCGACTTTGATGTCGCTTGGTCCTTCGCCTACTCCGACGACTCGAGCGGCTCGCTTGCGAAATCTTGGAAAGAGCATGACCGGATGGGCATGCGCATTTTGCAGCCAGCGCCATGTATGCCTCATTTCACGAGACACGGCGCAGTACTCGTGGCAACTCTTGCAGTATAAGGTGGGCCTGTGCTGGTTCATTGCGAAGCCGGTGTGAACCGCAGCTGCGCCCTCGCAGTAGCCATGCGAACCTTGCCTCAGAGAAGTGCATCTCTTGATCGTACCGTATCCATCACACTTGCGAATCTAGGTTCGGAGGCAAAGGCTGTTGCTCTCGCCAAGGCATGAGGATCCTGCTGGAGACGAGCCAATCTTCAGACCCAGAGATGCTGTTCAAGTCCTCGTGGTGCCACATAGCAGCCAGCACCTTGCCTCCAAGTGCGATTCGGCGACTCAGCCCAGCGAGAGCCCTTCGAGTGACTTTGGAGCCAGGAAAGCAAAGAGTCCTCACTACGACCGGCTCTGCTCTTAGCCGCCTTAACCCTGAGCACGAGGTCCAAGTAGCTGGAGCTTCCACACTGTTTGTCAGGATTCCAGCGGCAGCTGCTGCTGTTTGCCCGCATGGGCTGCTGTTGGTTCCCAACTCTGGATATGGTTTGGAGAACTGTTCAAGAACGCCACATGGCACAGTTCCGCGCACTTGCAGCTCAGATGCAGCTATTTCCCGTGATGGGTGACAGCAAGCAGTGCCGTCGCATATCAGTTGGAAGTTTGGATGTCGACTTTGCAACACAGCTCAGGCTGAAGACACGGCCAAACAAATTGTGTGGCATCCTCGGCCTTTTTGCACGAAGGGAGCATCTTGGCGAGTTGCAAGCTGTTTGGAGCTCTTGTGCACTAGGTGTGCAAACTCGGCCGCTTGGCTATGTTCAGGGGAGGGGCAAGGCTCTAAGAAAACCCGTGGACATGGAGGGCAAGGTCTTCAATGATTCAGAGATCGTCACCTTTGGGCTGCTCGTGGCTGCTCCGTCTTGGGTGGAGCCTTGCCTGTGCGAGAGTGAGAGTCGAACCGTCTCGCAGGATTTTCCGCCAGGGACCTGGTGGCGGGCCATCGTTTTCATCAGAGATGCAACAATGCGAGGCCGGGGGCACTCGGGGCACTGGGCTCAGAGCTGCAGTTTTCTGCGATGCCATGCCTGGAGGTGAGAAGAAAATCGAAGGAGGCTACGACCTCAGCACCGACTCCAAGCGCAACATTGCGGAGAACCGCGTGCGTGGCTATGCCACATCAGCCGCTCGACCAGCCTGAAGACACCCATCCAATGACAAACGTTTCAGCATGGTTTCAGGATCAATAGGATAGGTAACGCTCCGTCATTTCTTCAGCCTGTTCGACCTATCACTGTGGCTGTCACATGCTGTGATGCTCCCCAATCTAGTGAACGATTGCAGGCTACCGCTGAGTTGTATCAGGCCTTTTTCATCACAGTTCTGAGTGTGACAGGCAGCATTCAGCACATATTCATAATTAGATCTATGGCTGACTCACAGTCGCATATCAATTCGTGCATGCATGCTACCTACCTGCCGAACGACCGGCCTACCTACCTGTCTGCACGTACTTACCGACTTGCTTGCCTATCTACCTAGCTACCGATGTATCTATACTGGCTACGAGGTGTTAGTGTGGGGTCTTGAAGACTGGTCATGCGAGTTTCAGCGGGACTGTGTCTCTTCATCAGATTGGTCATTGAAAGAAATATGTCAATCTGTTCCTGTTTCTATCCAAAGCAGACCTTGCCGTGAGAATAGTTTCTCAACAATGCGAGAGGGAAGATAATACGGGCTTCCATAGATGACAGTAGCTTTTTGAACAGCTCATATTCCAGATCTTACTCTTGCTCGAGTTCTCTCTATTATTTCCTTTATGTTGGTGATGGCAATGGCCTAGTAATGGCTATACAGCCACGTATGAAGATGAGGAGGAGGAGGAAGAGGAGGAGGACGACGACGACGATGCTGATATGTACTGATAATGGCGGTGTTGGTGATGATGACGATAACGAGGACGGTGGTGGTGATGGTCGTGGTGGTGGTGATAATGGCGGTGGTGATGATGATGGTCAAAGATGGTCTTTATGAATATTTATGTGCACGTAGAAATGTGTCTTCCATCTATCGAGATGCGCATGTGTGTGTGTGTGTGCGTTTGTCTGTTTATGTAGATAGAAGCATGTATCCATACATGCGTATATGGATATGGTCAAGGCAATGCCCAAGCTTGTCGCAGCAGCGAAAGCTGGCCCGACTCCTGCGGCAAGCGCCACACCTGGCTGAGCGAATCGATGATTCGCACGCGTCGAGGGCGAGAGAGAGTTTCAGAAATTGGATCCCTTGTAGGGTTCCTTCTACTGAGGATCTCATTGCTTTTTGGTGTTCATATCAAGGTCCCTATTTGTGAAACTCCCGCATAGGGCTCGTTGTAGCTGACTCTGCTTACGCACGATACCAAAGCCAGTTGAGCTGGAGGGCGGGTGCATCGAATCATAGGACTTGGCTCAGCCCTCAGCCGCGCAGGCCATGGGCGAAAAGCAGCGCTTGGAGCCTGGTGGGCTCGGGGGTAGAAGTGCCAGGTCCCGGGTGATGTTTTGTTAGACCCAAGCTCACGTCTCGGAGGCACCCTCGCCCATAAGCCCCAAGCTTTGCAGAGCACATCTTAAAGGCCATTGCATCTTCAGACTATTGTGTGCTACATAAACAAGCTTTGCTGAGTGGACTATGTCGTTGCACCACCAAGTTTGGGATTCACAGGCAAGTTCAGTTCCTACACTTCCGAGCCAAAACCTGGTCAAGGCTCCACGAAGGACAGCATCGGCTTGTACTGGGTCATACGTCTGTACGAAAAAGCCAGACGGCTAGGTGCTCATAGGGACGATTTCGGGAGTTTCGATTGGATTAAAGGGCCGTGCCTCTTGCTGCAACTGTTTTCTTGGGGTTGAATGGGCTTCACTGCCATCGTCATGCCCGCACACCCGACGGCCCACGAGTCCACTACAAGCTGGCGCTACCTGCCCCTCAAGATACGGCCTGGTGTGGCCAGCACATGATTGCATTGCAAGTGAGGCGTGGAAGGGACTCTTGGACATTCGCCTGAGCGGCCATCTGCTGAGATGCCGCGTGGCACACGATAGTACGATGGAATTGTCCTGTTGCTTGTTGATAAGGTCGCCGCTCCTTGGTGGTGCGGAGGCACTGGAGTGCTTCGAATTGCAATGGCAGCTTGAGCTGCAAGCTCATGAGTGCTTCACACCGACGAGTGGCGTAAGTTTGCCTTTCCTACAGTGCCGGCAGGTGCCTGCAAGCGGTGTGCGTCGCCCGCCAACGAACGATTCGGCCGGGAATGGGTTTTGATGAGTTCCAAAGCTTCCTTGCTTGCCTCGGATGCTGGGGATGAAATTGATCTAGGACCCATCGATCAGACTTCATTTTCAGTAGTGCTTTGGCAACATTTGTCTGCGTGCCACTGGCACAGGCACGCCGATTCCTCCAATGCACGTACCTGAGCCGGCATCGTCTTTCAAAGCACATGGTATGGTGCATGCTCCCTCGCCTCTGCCGTGTCCCAAGGTGACGAAAACATCACCGTCGTAAATTCCAAGGCTCGACAGGATCTTGTTCGCGATTTTGGACACGAGCAGACATTCAGGCGATTGCACATGCCCTGATGCAAAAAGGGCGACAGCACCCAGGTCAAGGGAGGTGCTCGTAGCGGCGATTGTTAAATTACCCTCATCCGTTGCCTCATCGGCTCCAAGCGTTTGTATAGGAACCTCCCTGTGACTGCGCGACAGATGCATCGACGGCACGCTGCACAGTCGTTGATCCAGCTTCACAGGACTTGATGGTAGCCAGCTATGTGTCAGAGGACCAGCTGGCCGCCAACCTGCGCTTGTTGTCCTGTGTGAAGACCAACGAGATCTCTGGTATCGATGTGGCCATTGACCATGGGGCAGATGTGAATTTCGCAAACTTGCAAGAGCCCATCAATCTCCAGACACCGCTGAGAGCCGCCTGTGCTTTGGCGAACGTGAAGATGGCGAGGCTTTTGCTTCAGCAGGGTGCCGACGTCTTTGCCCATTTTGCCAAAGATGGCTGGACTGCTCTGCACAGTGCCTGCTATAGCGGCCATGATCATATAGCGAAGCTGCTACTGGAAGAGGCTGGGAGTCTGCATGAGGGCACACTCCAGGATGGGTGGGGCTTGATGCATCTGCTGGCATTGTGTGTGACTGACCGGCTTTCCAAGCAAGGAGCATCCCTGGTGTGCTGGGCTCTGAAACAGATGCCTGGTGTTGAGTTGAATGCTTTCTCAAAGCATGCCGGGTTCTATGATTGGACGCCTCTGCATGTGGCTGCAGCCCGTGGCATGACACAGGTTTGCAGCGCTCTCCTGAAGGCAAAAGCTAACGTGTGGGCATCGACTGGTGATTTCCATGTCAGCTCCCCGCACCTGAACAAATTTGCGTTGGCCGGAAGCATTGCGTCCGTCGGCGCCGGCTTTGACAGAGTGGAGGGCCGTCACTTGGACAAGGGCTTGCTACCCCTTCATGTAGCTGCATTTGGAGGCCAAGCGCGGACTTGCCAGCTCCTGCTGAGGCAAGCCCCCAGGTCACTCCACACCATGACGCATCGGCATTGCTGGACGGCCCTGCTACATGCTGTTTGGAGCGACAATGCAGAGCTGGTGCGCGAGCTGTGCCGGCAAGGCGCCAGAAAAAGCATCAACGACATAGATCGGAGGGGAGACGGAACGTCGTGGTCGCCCATCTCGCTGGCCGTGATTCGTTGTTCTCCAGACGTGGTACATGTTTTAGTGGAGTACGGGGCAGACCCACTGATGCGCATGGCGTTGGTTGACTTCCCAGGGTCTGCATTCTTGAAGCACTGCTCGCTGGCATTGCCGGATGCAGCTGAGAACACCTGGAGCGGACCCGACAGACGCATTTCTTTGCTTCATCTTGCAATTTGCCGTGGATCCAGCACTATGGTCAAAGCTCTGATGCCCCTTCTGCGCTCAGCCCATCAACAGCCAGTCCGCCTGAGCACAAGTCGCCCCCCTTTAACCGGCAGGGGCGCTTCGCCCTGGCAGGACCTACAGAAGGAGACGAAGGAGGCCTCCTTCGGTCGCTCAGGAGCCCAGACGCAGCGCGCAGTGCGCCAGGATCGCCAGGATTCGGCCCGTGAGCGCTTGAACAGTGGCCCAGCCTCAGAGGCTCAAGGCAACGATCCTGTGACCTTTCGGACAGATCAGGGATGGTCTCCTGCCATCTTGGCTGTCCTCCTTCAAACGGTTGATCCGGATCGGATGGTTTGTCCCTTTTACATCACGAGGGGATTTCCTGATCGATCCGTCGGTTCCAGGGCTGATGTGGTGAAGGAGCTAATGGACGGTCCTTCCTCTCCTTTTGCAGAGCACGAGGCAGATAAGCCGCTCGTAGTCCCACAACGTTTCCCAGATGTTGCCGCGACTTTAGTGAACATGGCCATCAATGAGTTCTTACGTCTCTGCCGAGGCTCGGCAGCAGAAGCTGTCGACCAGATTCTGCAGTCTACACTCTGCGCAGCATGCCATTTCAATCGAGCAGAAATCGCACAGCACCTCCTTGAAGTCGGCCGGTGCGATCCACGATGCACAATGCTGAAGCCGGTCGAGCAACGCCCCCTGCACATCGTAACTTCTCACGGCTACGGGCGGCTAGCTCAACTGCTTTTGGATTACAAAGCGAATCCCTTAGAGCCAGATGAGAATCGGCAGCTTCCGGTGGTGAAGCTAACGGCATTCTTTGAGAGTCAGCTACAACGCTTGCAGGCCAGAGTCGCGGAGTTGGAAGCACAGCTTTGCGAGGCTGACAGGGCCGACAGTCTGTCAGCGAAGTCATCGCCGAAGACCGCTGAACCATCGCGGGTGGGCCGGAGGACAGGCGGTGGTCCGATCGATGTTGCAAGCTACGAAGCTTTGCTGCACGACTCTCGCATGTGATATCAAAGCCCGAGCTCGGCATTTTTGCAAAGGCTCGCGCGGAGACTTGTACCTCCCAGCTTTAAGTGTTTACTCGCGTGCGATTGCCTGCGTCAGTACACTGCTGGATAAATTCATCCGAGGGATGGACCTTAACTGCGAAATGCTGCGCTCGAAGCGTGAAAAGGGCGCATATACTCACGTACATGACGCCTGGGCTGACTTTGGTTTGAGGGCACGCGGCATGCATGAGGACTGTGCTCATTGATTGCAGTGGCTGCGATGCACGTGAGCGAAGAAGAAGCATCACCCACGGCTGTGATTTTGGTATGAGATGGCAAATGTCGGAATACGCAGGTCAGTATCGCGCAAGCTCTTCTTCAGCTCCGAAGTTTGGGACATGAGCTTAGCTTGAGGCCATCATGTCCAAACCTTAAGGGGACCAAGTCATGGAGGTAGAATTAGGCTGCGGCGACACGGATGCTCCCCTTGCACTGAGGATTAGATGTGCAGATATCCCAGGTTCTCGTGAAGCCGGCGGCCAAGATTCACACGGGAGCGAAGGGCCGCTGCTGCGACTCAGAAGAGTCCAAGGTTTCAGGAGTTTGCACAGGGGCACATCCCCTTGGCTGCCATGGTCGACACTGCTCTGTCCCTAATTTGCTCCACATTTCGAAGGTTGGAAAGTGCAAAAAACATTTCCAAGCTCTTTCGAAAGGTCATCGCGGTGATGGACCACCCGGTGATGCCCTTCTCGCAGCCTGGCCTGCGGTCGCCGAATGTCGTGGCCCAAGCAGCAGTTCACTGCGGATGTCCAAACGAGTTGGTGTCACGGTCAGGCCATGCTGATCGATTTGCTCATGTACGAGGAGCCAATGTAGGTTTCTAGATGGTCCTATGCAGTGGATCTGTCGTGCCTTGCCTGGCGAGGATGCGAAGATACTCCCGTTGGCTTTGGAGTTGATCTGTGGAAACAGCTATTCGGCAGGCGGATGGTTGTGAACACATTTTGCTCCACAGCAGCTGCATTCCCACGACTAGCAAAGTACAGTACAGGGTTGATTTTTGCTCAAGTCATCTTTATTGGCAAGCAGTTGTCGCCGAATCTGTTACATACGCGGCCCTGGCCCGAAACTGCATGTGGTTTGGTTGTAGTATGGGCTCCTGTAGTAGTTTATGACTGTCCGGCTTCAAAGCGCATGCCGCTCAATCGAAAATCGCTTGTGGGACATGAGGGGGTTGGGGTCATCTCGCAGAGTAACTTCTAGCCAGCAAACTAAGCCAGCGCGAAGCTGGCAGTGGCCACCAGACCTCAGTAGGCGAGCCGGTTTCCAGCAAGCTTGGGTTGCCGATCGACGCACGTCCATACCCGTCTCGATGTGTCTCGTTGCCCGCATTTGCCCTCGGGAGCAACTCAGGCACAGTCATTGTGCTTGCTAGTGCAGGCGACTTCCTGGAGGAGCTCGAGAAGGCAAACAAGTTTGCGCAATCAAGCTGCTGAATTAAAAGAGCTCGTTAGTCTCAAGGTCACGCTTCTGACGGAGCAGCAGGATGCCTTAATGAGCCGGCCTCAGCACGAGGCTTTATTTCTTTCTGGCAGTTTGGAGTTGAGCTGCGTCATCTCCATCGGGATTGGACCGGTTGAGGCAGCAGCTCAAATCAGATGTGGCGCAGATGAGCAAGATACTCTACAGTTTCGAGAACTGGAGCATCGAGGACTCCTGGAAGCAGCAGTATTCTGCGTTGCCATTGTTTACCACTTCTTGTTGTTCGAAACCTGTTGTTCGAAACCATCTTATAGCTGGTAGGTGTTCTTACTGTTGAGTTGTTGCTGCTTCCTCTTTGATGGGAGCGATGATGCTGTGTTTCAATCTTCGCTTGTGCAGGATGAGTTTTCCATCTCAGACCGCAAACCTCTCAACGAGCTAGAGGAAATCGGCTCACTCCTCAGCGCTTCCACGGGCTCCTGGGGAGGAATGCTAGTGCCTCAGAGCCACCTGGTAGATGTGAAAATCATGACTAGTTGGAAGAAACATGAAGATACCCAGCAAGAACAGGGATATATCACCTGCCTTTAATCCTAGACGGTGTTGGCAAGGTAAGCGCTTGCAGAAGGCGTGTTCCGGAAACGCCCCAGCTTCAGGCAGGCACCCGAGACGGCAAGTGGCAGAGAAGTGAGCGGACGAGAAGCTATACCAAAAACTAGTTGGAGTGAGAAGTGTTTGTGTTTTGAATTCCCAGCCTCGTCCAGCAAGGCCGGATGGTCCAAGACATGCTGATTCACACCGACTTCGTCTCGATCGCTGGATACTGGCTGATGCTTGACTGGCAGGACCGATTCATTCTTCGTGCTTCTGTCAAGCTCCTCAAATTCTGTCCGGTTCCATTCGACTACATTGACATTATGCCTTGGGCCTCGCCTGGAGTGTCCGCGTGTCACAGTGTGCCGAAACGCTGAAAGCACCTTGGTGCGACGGTTCCAGGATACGAACCCCGAGAGTCGCCTCCTCCATCGGCGACTGACTGCCATCGTCTGCAGCGCGTGCATCCCAGTTGGCAGTTGGCAGCACAGGCGACGCGGAGAGATTGGCGGGTTTGGGGTTTAGCAAACATGGCGACATGTTCAGCAGGTGACACATCGGTCACCATGCAAGGCGATCACAGGTTCACAGGCAGAGTTGCAGTGAAATGCCGTAGCTTCTGTGCCATCGGGCACAGCTAGGGCCCTTTCACGAAGGTGAGAGATCCCGAATCACTGTGTGACATAGATGATGTAGACAAAACACAGACAGGAATCCGACAGGGCACGTTTGTTTGAGAAAGCGCCTGGGACATTGTGGGACCATGCTGTTCCAATGCAGGGCATGCAGTTTTGTCGGTACCAGACAAGAGAGAGTCCTTTGTTGCCATGTCTTGCCCGCTCAGATTGCTACGGCGTTCTGTCGCAACAACCCCAAGAATCAAGGCTGGCTCCACTTCCAATCTCCTGATGTTGCTTTCTTGCGCAGAGCAGTTCTCCCTGTCAGTCGGGGTGCAGACCAGTGGGTTTGAGCGGCACAACAGGTGTCTTTATGGACTTCCTCCCGGGTTTGTCGAAGGTCTTGGACGAGGATTCTGCCATCTGCATATGTCCTTCGCACTGAGTACGCTTGCATGGATTTTGAGTAGGACGACTTTCCTGAGAGTGCAGCGCTGGTCGCAGAGATTTTCCGCCGATCTCTAAGATGGCAGAAGATGCCGTGATCCGCATGATGCATAGATGTGCCTTTTACGGATGTCCGGGAGCTCTGCATCTCTGTGTAGAGACTCCAGCATAGCCAAGCTTGATACAGAAACAAGAACGGATCTTGGATGCCGAGGTGGCAATCTGACGAACTGCGAACAGGTGCCGGAGGCAATTTGTCGCAACAGATCATGATTGGAGATTCCTATGACAGCCCAGCTGTGCTGTGATTATGGTCGGCAGGAGTTGATCGAAGCATTCGGCAATCAGATGGCCTGAGCCCTGGCAGTGGCACGCATGCGCATATGTCTGTCTGTCTGTCTGTCTGTCTGTCTGTATGTATGTATGTATGTATGTATGTATGTATGTATGTGTGTACATATGCATGTACGTAATTACGTATGTGTGTATGCAGCATGGGCGTAGGATCGCCAATTGCTGCCTCCGGATGCCGTCATAACAATCCATGGTTGAGTGGAGAGAGGCTGCAACAGCGCGGACAGAGCCGAACACATGAGCTGGTCCTCTTCTGTGCAGGGTTGAGGACGTTGGACTCAGATGCCCGGTCTGCTACGATGAACCGGACCTGTGTCTCGCGAGATCTACCGTCACCGGTATGCGAAATGAGTTACGGTGACTTGGTATCTCAGGTGCAGTTGCCTGGCAACGTCTGTTTTAGGCTGCTGAAACCCTTGATGCCTCGACCCAGCCTGCCCCCTCTGTGTATTTCCTTTTTGGTGTGTGGCGGCGACTGGGTGGCTTGTGATGCCAGATGCCCTGGATGCCTCTGCCCAGCATGATTTTCGTGGAATACGAGTGTTCAACATGGAGTTGCATATGTTGGGAAGATGATGTGAACTGCCTGGTTAATGAGGCTCGTGTTGAACATGGGCTGAGGTTAGAACTGAGGCTCGAAATGAGTCGTGAATCTGGCTCGTAATGAGCCTTCTAATGCTTTGCTGCCGCCGCAAACCTCGCCTGACCTCGTCGAGTGCGAGTGCTTGATATGTACGTATATATGTATGTATGTATGTATGTATGTATGTATGTACGTACGTATGTATGTATGTATGTATGTATGTATGTATGTACGTATATATATGTATGTATGTATGTATGTATGTATGTATGTATGTATGTATGTGTGTATGTGTGTATGTGTGTACGTCTGTATGTACATGTGTGTGTGTGTGTCTGTCTGTATGTGTATGTATGTATGTATGTATGTATGTATGTATGTATGTATGTTTGTTTGTACGTACGTAGGTATGTATGTATGTATGTATGTATGTATGTATGTATGTATGCATGTGTTGTTCAAAAACGGTAGGTTAGATTTATGTAACTGTTTGTCAGTGCGTCGAATAGCTCTACATGTTTATCTATCGAAAAGCTGCTGCACTGCACTCCTTTGCGTTGGTTGACAAGGTGCGAACCAAGCGCGCAGGGCGCTACGTGCCCGGAGCTCGTGCCACTTGCAAGCTGGGCAATCGAAGCGAACGAATGTGTTCTTGACCCTTTGTTTTAACGAGGCCTTGGTACACGTTCTTCTTAAGCAGCATCGTCGCTGCATCCGCCTCAGCTGAACGATGTGCTTTGGCACCGGTTGTCACTGTCTACTGCACTCTGCCGCCACGCTACGTAGGACGTAGGGCATCCGCACGTGTGCTGCAGTGTCTCCGGCATCGGTGCTTGTCCGTGACTGCAGCACTTTTTGACTGGCCCAAACAATCGGTCGCCCAGCTCCTGCAATTTTGAACCATGGGACAAGCCGAGAACTTGGACGTGGAGGGAAGTTGAAGGATGCTGTCGGCCATATACGCGTGACTCCACATGCGCAGGCGATGTCAGACATGGCTGCGACGCTGTCGGACACCTGCTGTGGCCTGCTCGCAGGAGGATTCGTGTGCAAGCAAAGGGAATGCTTTGAACCAGCTCTTTTACGAAGCCGGCGCATCAACTTTAGCTTGCTCGCTTCTGCCTGTGTGGGATATGCTCTCGACATCTCTCGACCCTCCTCATGGCGCCGGGTTCAGCTTCTCGGCTCAGGTGGCGAGACCACAGGAGAGAAGGGCGAAGAATTCCGCTCTGGCAACCGGGCATGGCTCAGCTTCTTTGGTACATCCGTTTGCCTGCTGTTGTACGGTTTACGTCTCCGACTCCGGGTGCGCAGGAGAAGATGAGATCAGGAACGTCGCTCCCGACCTGTTGCCAGGTGACATGGCTGCAAAACCTCATTGCTAGTGACAGCGCTTTACTTAGCCTTTAGAGTGGTTGGGACTGCACACTTGGAGTAAGGGTTTTTGGCACTTGCATCAGCAGCCTTTGATGTTTCCGGCGACTTTGCTCTTGGAGACATGAAAGACCGTCGACATTACCATAGCCTGAAAGGGGCCCAGGATAGTGAACCTTGTCGTTATGCTCTCATGTCGGGCTGGCTCGGTGTGCACCTGGACCTCTTCACCGACATCCACAGCCTAGAGGCACTATCTTGGCATGTTTCCAGATTGCTGAGGCACGAGACCCGCCAGGGTAGCGCCGCAGGATGTACAGCACCTCAAGGACAATCTGGCTGCACGACCTTTGGCTGTAGTGGCGCGCGTGACTCACCCCTCGTGTTTCCACCCCTGCCAAGAACAGGACATGGGCTTCCAAGAAGTTGCCGCAACAAATGCGCTTGAAGCCTGCAATGGCATCTCGGACATCAAACTTTTCCTTGGGAGCGGTAAGATGCTCCTTCCAAACGACTTGGGTTTGAAGCTTAAAGCGGCAATGCAAAGCCACAAGCCGGGGCAGAAAACTAGCTGCCGCTGCTTCCAAGGCAACTTGGACCAAGCGACCCAGCTGCTACTCGCGTCCCTCCCTTAGAGCCACGGGGAGAGCACTGTGATGATGCCCAGCGACTCGATAGACACGCGCCGACGGCCTCAAACTCGACTGTCCAAGTTTGGCAAAGCACCTCAGTTGCAGGAGTGCCGCTGCCGAGTCCCCAGAGATGGCGATTCCGCCGCCACCACCGCCCCCAGCGGAGGCACCCAGACGAAGTCGAGATATGAGGTCCTTGAAAAGCCTGACGGGTGTGGTGCCACAAGCACCTGTCTCGAATACTGGCTGGCATGCGGAGATGAACGAGAATAGTTTCCAATCGGAGACAGCAGGGGACAGACCAGAGCCAACAGTCCCTGTGCAGAGTTGTGAAATCATTCTGTGCGGTTTTCCCGCTTGTGGTTGTGCGTTCCATGGTTGGCCGCTAGAGTCACTAGAGTCACTAGAGCAAACCAAGCCCAGCTGTGAGCACACTCACATCACCAACAGCAGCTCGTCCACCTCCATGTGCGGAGGTCGACCCTCTTTCGGAGCGGCTCGGTGGGAAACGTTCTGCTTCTTTTGCTTCTTCTGCACACGAGTCGGAGGGTACTGCAATATACGGCAACTGCACTATTCACAAGAACTCAAACAATACCTGGCTATTTACAAGGTCTGTTGAAGGGCGCCCCTAATTGTTCTCAAAGTCCTGTGCGGGCACCGAGGAAAGTGGACACCCTGGTCGGCATGGGCTTCACTGAGGTCCAGGCCCGTGATGCCCTCGATGGTTGCAGCGGCAACCTGGAGCGAGCTGCCTCTCGGATATCAAAGCTTGGGGCTTCAGGAATGAGATCTTGAGGGTCTGAAGGATGTTTTAAGTTGTAACATTCAAGGTTGACAGTTGTTTAGGTTTGTTTCGGATGGTTTGCAGGAGGCTGGCTTGGACTTGCCGTGTGGCAAGAGAGTTTGCAGAGTCTTGCGAGGTCGAATATCTCACCACCCAAGCGTCATGAAGCGAAGCAGGACGCACACTCTTCTTGTGGTGGAGGTGCGGAAGACGGACAAATTTTCCGCCCGCAAGACAGCAGACAGATGACATTCCCGTGCAGATTTCCGATCTCTGCACCTCTGCGTGTCTTTGGCACTGATGCGTTCTGAGCACTCATGCCGAACAGCTGAGTTGCTGGTGCTCGTTTCACCTGCCCCCTTAAGGTTGGGCCTATAGGACCACGACCAGCAATGCGCTGGTTCAACACTTAGTTGCCCCGATATTTGCTTAAGTCGGGCAGGGCGGCGGCCAAAGACACCGGACCCTGCCCCACGTCTCCATCAAATTAGCTTGCATAGTACCAGCAGAGCCACTATCTCTCTACTCGAGCAGGACTGAAATTGGCCCTAGCCAGCTCGCATGACTCGCCAGTCCACGAGGTGTTGCCCTAGCCGCTAGCCGTCGTTGCAATGCCATTGCTTGGTGCCTGTGGCTACTTTCCCGGCAGCTTCAGAGAGTCGGGCACGCGCGAAGAAGGAAGGCCCCTCGCCATGGGCTCTGCCTGCAGCTCAGAAGTTGTGTAGATTCTGCTGGTTCAGGATGCTGAAGCCAAGAGAAGACTGAGGTTCTATCAGATCCATGCTGTCACTTGGCTGGACTGGTTTTTCCAATCAGAAGCTTGGCCCAAGAGCTGAACTGCTTCCATGCTTGAAGGTGGCAACGGGTCAGGAGACGAGATCTCGGGATGCAGACACCTTAGCTGCGTATTGAATGTTGCATGTAACCTCAAGTCCTGGAGGAGATGATTCGACTGAAACCAGGGACGTGGTACCAGCACTCGTACCAAGCACCTGTGCGGCATTCGGGAGTTGAAGCCAAAGAGCGTGTCAGATGTCATTGGATGGCGCACGGCTTTGCGGGCAGAGGTGCCGAAATCCCGGCTCGTCTGACCGACAACACGAAACTGGCAGGTGGGCCTGCATAGCATGGCTCAGAACCTGAAAACCAGCTTGTACCAGAGTTCACGACTCTTGTGCCATCTTCAGAGGTCCAAAGCCCAAAGCATCGAAGCCCAGAAAAGAGGACATCAAGACGCTCAAGGAGCTGCAAATTGGGGCCGTGCAGTTATGAGCAACTTGCTTTGCTCTGAAAAGCCAGAAAGAAGATTCAAACCCCAGCCAGAAAGGAGATTGAAGCACCTTTTGGGTAGTACTTGACCAGCTTCTCGACAGGATATGGGCTTTGAGGAGGTTGCTGCGAAGAATGCGCTGGAAGCGACCAACGGCTGCCCGGACGGAGAAAGACGCTGCAGAGCGTGCAAAGTCAGAGTTCTGTTTTCTGGACCAACACAATACATCTGCAGGCAACCTTGACCAAGCGATGCAGCTGCTGCTGCAGGGACCTCAATTTTGCAACTAGAGATGGCTTAGACGACTTACCGTGCAGCTTCGCAGGTCAACTGTCTCGCCCGAGCCCGCGCCTCCAACGAGCCCTCGTTCCCCGCCGGCGCGAGCAGCGCCGACACCGACGGCACCTGTGTCGAGTGCCATGGACGAGACGCTGGGACGCAAATCTATGGGATTCACAAAGTGCGTTGGGGAGACCAGGAATCAGCCACATGGCTCTCGGCTGACCCCTCAAGAGATAATCGAGTCTATGCTAAGGAAGATTGCTACTCTCGTGGGTATGGGCTTTACGGCCACCCAAGCGCGAAATGCATTGGACGGCTGCAGTGGGAATGTGGAAAGAGCAGAGCCTTGTCAGCAAGACCAGTTGCAATCCAGTTGCAACCGGCAGCTGCAGAGACCCAACTTGATGTCAGGTCGAGTACCTCATGGCCTCGGGCGAATGAGATCGGAACCAGGCCTAGGGTGAGTCAGCGGGCACGGCTCAGGATTAAATCCTGGGAGTCGTGGACTGCACGTTCTAGACCGGGCTGTGCAGCCCCAGGAACAGAGGCCAACAATGACAACTGCAATCGTTTGCGGCGGTGTAGGTCTCATTGAGTACGCCACGTGCCTGCAAAGATTACCAAGTGGCCAGTGGGTACTAAACGCCTGGAAGCTGCATGGTGCCGAAAGTCGCAGGGTCTCACCAACATCAGCACTTGGCTCCAGTCAGGAACAGAAGCCTGCGGCACCATGACGCAAGCGGATTTTCGGAGCTTCGAGAAGTGATGGAGCTGGGTGGCTCTTGAGCCTGCCTCCGGCTTTTAGCCAGGCAGCCGAGGCAGCACCAGTGCCAAACAAGAAAGAGCAGAAACGCCCCCCTCGAAGCTCCGCGGCTCGTGCCTGCATTCGTGCATCAAACCTGGGAGCACGTAGCGGCCATTGCTGAAGTGCCGAGGTGGGCTCCCAAGGTGTATCGAGGAACCAGATCCTTGTGATCGAGGCCGGAAGCCACACCGACGATTGCTCCATGTCGACTGACTTCACCACCTGCCTGCAGTGCCTCCAGAAGCACAACGGCAAGAACCTGATGAATGCGGGCTTGATGCTGGCAGCCGACTAAGTCCGCATGCACGGGTGGGGACATGATGTCGCTGGCTCTTGAGGATCGCGTTCGGCAGCTCATTCAGAACTTCACCTCAACGGACCGAGCTGGGATGGTGACTCCAGTTACTGTAGGGCGACAGCTCATGGAGCTCGGCCACGACTTGCCAGACAGCATGCTGCATGCCGCCAGCAGGAGATGTTGAAGCGCCCATCCCCAGACGGCCTCGAGCCCAGCACGGTGCACCACGCTTCCTGTTGTGCAAAACCCTTCCTCGAAGGATGGAGACCACAGGATGGCGAGCTTCAGCCTCGGACAGAAGAGAGAGACTTCGCGCAGCTCTTCTCCGTAGGCATAGTAACTCATACTGTACTGGTATAGCACTACTGGTAGTAGGAAAAAGAGAAAAGGTGAGCTCCCCGATCGAGCGAGGTTGGTCTACTACGCCAGCTGCCTCGTGACGTCCCCGGCTGGTTCTTTTCTTTGCAATTCCTCGCTGAGGCAACCTTGTGTCATTGCAGCTCCTGCATGTTGCAACGCACCGTATGAATTTGTAATCATGAACTGAAGATGTCTTGCCTTTCGCAAAACTCCGGCTCCCCGGGTCCCACAAGAAGGGAGCACTGCTGAGCAAGCTCCGTTAATAAAACGACGTAGTGCAGCATTCATGGGGCGAGCTGTCGGCCTTCGGCTTATGATCATCTGCAATCATCTGTATTATTCTTACCGTTCGTATCTTCATTAATATTTCTTTCATATTCATTGGAGAATCATGATGTTCAACGACGCAAGAAGCAGAGGGACTGTTTGCTCAGGACCTCTTGGTGGGCATTGCCGAGGGGCGTAGCAATAACTTGATCAACAAGCCCTTTGTGGCCACGGCCCCAGCACCGCATTTGGCTTTTGCTTGCTTTTGTGGCTGTCAGCAGAGGGGTTCGAAGTGCAAAGCCGTGTGCTTCTTTCCTCGCCCCTCTGCAGTCCGACATCTTCTCCTCGATCCACGCCTTGGCACTCCTCAACAAGGCGAGTGGTAGTAAACTCTAGGAACCTGGTTTTAAGAAACCCAAAGCGAGGGTGGTTGGTGTGGATCCGTTCATACAGGAAGTTTGGAATCGGCTCTCACACTCGGGATCCTGCATGGGTTTGTTTTCAGCTTCTATAGAAAGTAGGCGAATCAGCGACTTCACAGCCGGAATGGCCGGGATTGGAAGATTGTGGCTGTCCTGAAACTGCAGCGGACCTTCCAAATTTTGACCCGGGCAGCACTGGCATGCAACGGACCTTCCGAACACAGAACTCTAGGTGATGGCTGATGAGCAGCTTTTTCGTGCAGATAATGCTCTCTCTCTCTATCTCTCTCTCTCTCTCTCTCTCTTGTATACATGTATATATATATATATATAGGTTATATATATATATATAGGTTATATATATATATATACACACATGCACACACACACACACATGTTTGCAGGCGCACACACACACACATCTCGCTCTCTCTGTCTCTCTCTCTCTCTCTTTCTCTCTCTCTGTATTTACATATATATATATAATATACGTATACACAGATCTGTGTGTTTGCACATGGAATCAATAGTGTGCATGTATGTATGTATGCATGTATGTATGCATGTCGATTTATCTATTTATCTAGCTTATATGTGTATGTATATATCATATTCTTCATATGCATGTGTTCACGCACAGACAAATAAAAGAGAGGGGGAGAGACAGATTCACATTGCTCGCTCTCTCTCTCTCTCTCTCTCGCTTTCTATATATATATATATATATGTACATATATATATATATATGTGTGTGTGTGTGTGTGTGTGTTTATACCTGTTATAGTGTTTTCATGTTCGCGAGAGTGTGCCTGTTTTCCGCCATGGCTGTGCGCACCGCACACATGCAACAGTGGGCTCGATGGCATTGTCGTGATTTGTGCGTGCTGATCTGCTGATCTGGAGGTGGTGTTTTTTGTTGTTTATGTGCGTTCCCTTTTGTAGGTACAACCAGTGGAAGATGTCACGCCAGTGGCCGTGGCTGGGAGCCGAGATCACGAGCTTTTGGCGCGCTGACGGGATCGTTTGTCAATGCTACTCAGCTACTCGTGCATCATGCAGTGCGTGTATACTCCAAGTTGTGGCGCCGGGCGTGTTTGGCTGTCCGATGTATGTCAAAGGAACCACAAAAAAAGCAGCACAGTGCTGCAAAAGGCGCCAGTCATCCGACATTGAGGTCACAAGACATCTTCGAACTCGGTGGCTTCACTTGCTGCAGCTGCTGTGCTTGCTGGCATGTTTCGCGGAATTTGTGAATGCAGCGGCACTGCTATCGTGTCAGGCTGTACGATGTCGACAAGACCTTGTATGCCCCAAGCTCACATGTGGATTCGAAAGACAGCTGGTCATATCATATGAGGGTTTACTCTGGCGCAGAGCTTAGGACACCAGCTTGATGTCGAGCCCTTCCCACTTTGAGTTCTTGGAGCCTTGACTTACAAGAGCTGCGTTGGCCGTGGAGGTCGAGGTCATTTCCACAGTTCTCAGCTTAAGGAGAAGTTGCTGACTTCGATGGAGGCATGAAGCACGACGGTAGCGTGCATGCTTTTGCCGAGTTTGTGGATTCAACTCATTGTGCCGTCTTGAGCATCCTGTTCTTGCTGCATAGTCTGCTGTGGTTGTGCACCAAGCATTTCGCAGTGTAAGCTCGCAGTGCATGCTCCTTGCTTTCCGTATGCTCATGGACTCGCACACAGTACCTGCTACATCACCTGCTCGGCAATTCGAGAGGACACGTCATAAAGGCATTAAGAAGCCGACATAAATTCGGGAGGGTTCGTTTGGCCAGTGCCGATACTTGTCACAACCGGAACGGCGGGAACGGCCGGCACGCAAGGCGCTGCTGTCACTCGGACCGGTGCCGGACACACCGCGCGCAGCTGGGGACTTGGGCTTTGCAATGCACTCAGCATTTGCTTTGGCCAAGAGGCGCGCCATTTGCACAGATCTGTTTCAGGTCGAGCCTCCAGAACAGCCTGTGGGGGGCCTACGTTGCCTCAGGATGTTCTAGAATCAGCCTGCAGTCTGATCATGGTAGGATGGAGGATGGATCGTACCCACCACCTAGACAGCCTAAGCCCATCGTGGTATCCGAGGTGCCATCAAATTTCAAGGCCCTCGATCAGGACAACGGGGAGTCGTGATCAACTCGGGCTCAGGCTACAAAGTCTTAGTAGCAGTCGTGCCCCAGAAGTCCCAGGAGAAGCTGACCAGTAGGAATTGTATGAAGTGCCAGCATCAAACTAAACATATTATAGGGGAAAAAATATTTTTTCCCCTATAATATGTGTAGGAATTGTATGAAGTGCCAGCATCTCGGCCCAAAGCAGCAGGCCAGGTTTTGACGCTCACGCCATGGCTGGCATCCAGTTCCCTGCCAATGAGAAGGGCGATAGGCCCCACGCCCAGAAAAAATGAGGATTGGGTTGTAGGCTGAAGGGTTCAAAGGGTCCAGGGTCCGAAGATGATAATTGGGGGTTCTATCATGGTTCTGCGCAAGGGTTCTGCGAAGGTTCTACGGGAGTTTTCGCGAGATTTGTTTCCAAAGTCGAAGCCGGCACCCATGAACCTCAACCTTTTGCTACTTTTGCCGGTGTTCGGGTATGATGTCAGGTCCACCACCTCTTTTAACAAGAGCGTGTATGCAGCAATGGCAGCTGCCTTGGCCAGCGCTGAGGGCAAGGCCTTTCACCGACAGATGGTCATTGTAGTGAACATCTTGCCCCCATGGCTCGCTGAAAGGATCTTGAGCAGAAAATCAAGTCTGAGAAGGATTGGCGCCATCAGCAACTTTTGCAGCATTTAGTTTCGAAGTTGAAATGACGATCACATGCGGACTCAGGGGAAGCTGCAGTCTTCGCCAACTTGCGATCTTGGAAAGTTGAAAGTCCCGACCTCAAGGTACCACGTTCACTTGGACGCCCTGATCGAGCGGACGCTAAGAATACAGGCCTCCATGTGAAGCTTCGTGTCAAGTCGTTTACCCCAAGCCATCCATCCCTACAGTAGATCTGGGTTGTGTGGGGCCTTGCCTGCTTTCTGCGAGTCGTGAGAGTCGAAAACCATCCCTCAAAACAGAATTCAAACCGAAACTTTATACGTCCTAACTCCGATGTCAATGTACACCGAAGCCCTGTAGTCAGTTTCTGAACTACCCTGCAACAAGGACGGTTTCTGTTCTATTTGTGCCAGGATGGGACTGCGCTGCAAGACGTCCTGAAAACTGGCCTTGAGAAGGTGCCTGGAGCAGACTGCAGAATTGAGCATGGGGCTTGAATAAAGGGCTGCTACTTGCGATTGTAGTGCTACGACTTCACTACGCTTGCCTGTCTTTCCTGGCAGACTTCCCAAGCCGCCCCACGCCCGGCTACCAACAAGGGGAGTTCTTTGGGGGTTCCATGGAGTTGTAGGGATAGTGGGGGGGTTTATGACTGGTTATGGTTTAGTTGCCTTTGGCTTTGAGGCCTTGTGGGTACCTTACGGCACAGGCACGCGCGATGCAGTTCGAGTGCGCTGATGGGAAATATGTCGCTTTAAGTGCAGCCATGGCTGCACCAAGCGTGACACGAGGCTGCATAATGGATGTTCATGATTTCCTGGACACGACGATTGATACAAGGGTTCAATGCTGAAACGTTTTCTTACGTAAAGGACTCTTAGCCGCTATAAGCTCTTGCCAGTTAAGGAAGTTTCAGACGGTCACAGCTCCTCAGCGTCATTCAGTTTCAATCCTTTGATGAGAACAGGCCACGAGACTAACAGAAGCTTTCAGATTACAAAGTGTCTCAGGTGCAGGGAGATGGTGCTCCCACAGAGAGATTTTTCCTGCCGTATGGCGGAAGGCATCTGAGTGGAGAAGAGCTTGACTCGCAGTGCGCCACGCGACTGCAGACTGACACAGCTCGTAGTGTAAGAACAAAAGTCAGGTAGCAGTGGTCGTAGTCGTCGTCGTAGTGGTAGTTTCAGTAATTAGTGGCAGTAATTAGTAGCAGTAGTAGTAGTAGTAGTAGTAGTAGTAGCAGCAGCAGCAATAGTAGTAG